AAAAATGTGTATTTTTTAATTCCTTACTCTGCAATAGCAAAGATTGTTTAATGTGTTTTGAATAACTCACAAAAATTTCCTAGTGCAAACTGGGGCAGAAAATTTTTGTTCGTTTTGTTTGTTTTGTGGTGGCTTGTAGGTTTTTCTGCAAAGCACGGATTTGATGTGCAAAAATAAGATTTCAGTTCTTTCCAGAGAAAGTGGAATGTTTGGTCTCAATACCAGGCGCAACCAGCTTTGGCGTAATGCTGCAGAGACATATGGTCAAGATCTTCATCATCGGATCAAGAATCAAACCTGGGAGAGTATTTCATAGTCTGTTGCATCGAGAGCATCAAGTTTCAATCCAAAGTTACTGGGAGAATTGGAATCACGGATCAGAACCTCGACGGAACCTCAGTGGACTCTCCATCTAAGTATACTCCATCACTCTTCTTTCTACTTGAACTACACTTGACTTGATTCTCTTATAACCCGGGATATGTAGGCTGCCTAAAACCAAGGCTCGGTCGCATCTTTTATCTTCTTTTCCTTTTCAAATGATAGTGAGGCCAAAAATCAGTCACCTTGTTCATTGTCTTTGCCTGAAAACTCTTCATGTTTCCAAGCAANTTTAGTCCCTTCCCATAGAAAGTTCCTTCTGATCTTGTCAAGCTGCTTCAGGACCTTACTAGGCATTGGAAAGAGTGACATCTGATAGGTTGGGATGTTGTCTAGGACACTACTGATTAGAGTTAGTCTACCACCCATAGACAAATACTGCATCTGCCAAGAAGCAAGTTTCTTTTCAAATTTCTCTATGACCCCACTCCATATAGCTTCTGACCTGAACTTTGCCCCTAGTGGAAGTCCCAGGTAAGGAGTTGGTAAACATCCAGTCTTGCAGCCTAAAATTCCAGCCAAGTCTTCTAAATTATGCACCTCATTAACAGGGTAGATTACACTTTTGAGCATGTTAATGTGAAGACCTGAAATAGCTTCAAATATAAGAAGGGTTAGATTTAGATAGAGCACTTGACTTCTGTCTGCCCCACAGAAAATCAATGTGTCATCTGCATAGAGCAGATGCAGATGGGAAATATTGACCGTGCTTCCTCTCCCAACATCAAAACCTTTCAACCATTGCAGCTGTTTAGCTTTATCCAACATCCTACTAAGTCCTTCCATTGCTAATATGAATAGGAATGGTGAAAGTGGGTCTCCCTGTCTCAATACCCTCTGTGGAGAGAAAAAACCAACTGGGCTCCTGTTGATTAGAATGGAGTACTTCACAGTGGAGATATTGAACTTGATCCATTTTAACCATCTTTCCCGAAATCCCATTTGCTTGAGAATGGAAATGAGGTAGGACAAGTTAAGTTGATCAAAGGCTTTTTCTATGTCCAGCTTACATAGAATCCCTGCATCCCCTTGCTTTAACTGCCAATCAAGGACCTCGTTTGCTATCAACGAAGCATCTGTAATTTGCCTTCCTTGGATGAATGCATTTTGTTGATTTGAGACCAATTTTCCCATTACTTTCTTCAACCTTTCAGCTAGGACTTTAGCTATGATCTTGTACACACTGCCAATTAGACTAATTGGTCTATAGTCCCTTAGCTCCATTGCCCCTTTCTTTTTAGGAATGAGCGCAATGAAGGATGCATTACATGACCTAACCATCCAACAATGCTGGTGATAGTAACTCATAGCTGAAAGTATGTCATGTTTAATGAACTCCCATGAGTGCTGGTAGAAAGCCATTGTGTACCCGTCAGGCCCTGGTGCTTTGTCAAGAGCACTGGAGTTGATAGCTGCAAGAACCTCCTCCTCATTGAAAGATGCCTCCCGCCCCTCCTTTTCTTCTTCTGTAATGGTTGCAATTCCTTCAAAATTAGCAGATGGCTCCAACTTTCCTGCTCAGTGTACAAGTTTTCAAAAAATCCAGCGTCTCCTGCTTTATCTGCTCCTTATCTTCTATGATCTCATCCCTGACCATGAGTTGGCTAACTGTTGTAGTTCTATTCTTATACTAACCATTTGGTTAGCCTCAGATAAAGTCAATTGCTTGTCTTCTGCAGCCTGTTCTAGTGCCATGAGTTCCTCTAGTGCCCTGTTTTTCCTGGTTTCCACCTTCCCAAACTCTTCCCTGTTCCAGGTAGTGGTATTCTTCTTTAGGCTTTTTAGCTTTTGCATAAGGATAAAGTCAGCACTACCAGTGAATGTGTAATTCTGCCACCAGCTCTTTAGTTTGCCTAGAAATCCTTCTGATTAAAGCCACATGTTTTCAAACTTAAAGAAGGAAGGAGTTGCATCCCAGTCACCATTCTCCAAAATAATTGGTCTATGATCTGAAATTACCTTAGGCAAGGCAATCTGTCTCACAGCATTAAAAGAGTCATTCCAATCATTGGAGATAAGGAACCTGTCAATTCTCGAAGCCTGCAAACAGTTGTCTCCTTTAGACCAGGTATATTGAGCCCCCTATAAAGGAAAATCAATAACATCTAGGTCCTGAATAACATTAGAGAACAACTTCATTGCCTTTGATCTTCTAGTACAATTCAGCATCTCACTCTCAAACCTAACAACATTGAAGTCACCTCCACTACCCAGTGATCTTACCAAAGTCCCCTTATTCCTGCAATCTCACTCCACATTACTTCTCTCTTTGGATTGTTGTGTGGTCCATAGATTCCTGTAAAGCACCATCTGAACACTTCTGTGGTGCTTTCTAACATACAGGAGATGGAATAAGACCCCCGGTGTGCATCTAATTTGACCCACTTTCTTTTGTCCCAAATCACCACAATCCCTCCCCTGGTACCACTAGCTTTTAACACCACCCAATCAGCCCATCTATTCCCCCATAATTGTTGAATCATTCTAGTAGAGCAATCTTCTACCTTAGTCTCCTGCAAACACAAAATATCCACCCTCCACTTCTGAATGAGAGATTTAATAGTGCTTCTTTTCCAATCCTCATTCAACCCCCGCACATTCCAACTCAAGATTTTTAGCTTCATCCCGAACATGAATGGTATTGCCTACCCCTTAACCTGCTGCCCTCTTCTGTCATAATTAATCCCACATGCTAATCTTTTCCTTTCCCCCTCTCCTCTATTCCTCTTCTCCTTCCTTGCCTTTTGTTTTGATTCCTGTTGTTGGATTTGGACTTGTCTTCGCTGCTCCATCCTTAGAATTATACTCAGAAGATCATGCTCGAACCCTGTCGCATTGACCCCAAAGGCCTTGCATGCCTTGACCATAGTGAGTTTGGTCCATTTTGAAGTCTCGATTAAGGATGGAGTATCAATTAGCTGTGCGCTAGGGCCTCCCTCATACCATGTCAGTGGAAGAGCTTCACATACTGCCTGAGAAGAAAAGTCTGTGTCTGAGCTAGTTGCTGGAACCAAATCCATTGTTGGTGAGTGTATGCAAAGTGGCCTCTGGACTCTCTCTTCTGGGACCCCTTCATCATCTGCGTCTGAAGGGGAGTTTTCTAAACTCTGGTTTGCCAAAGCCATATGGCAAGATTGTGTCGTGTTTTGCTCCTTCGAGAATGAGGGTTTAGCTGCCAGTTCTTTTAATTTTAAAGCATTTGGGTCGGGTTTAAGCCCAGTTACCCTCCACACTGTTTTCTCATTAAAAAGCTTTGACTCCTTTGACTTCCTTGATGAGGTCTTCTTATTAATTGGGCCTTTTTTGTAATATTCCTGATCTGCTCCTCGGCCCAAGTTTTGTGATGGATTGAAAAGCCCTTTACCCTTTTTATCAGAGACCAATATACCTAGTGGTCCTTTACTCACTGGTTTAACAAATGAACCAGCATTCAAATTAAAGCTGCCAACCTGTCCTTCTGCATGTGAGACTGTGCCTGATGCAAGGTTCCTGCCAATCTGTCCTTCTACATGTGATACTGTGCCTGATGCAAGGTTCGAGGTACCCACTCCTGCCATCTTCTCCCTTGCTTCACCGAAAAAAAAAAATCTACATCATTTGTTCTAAATTATTCTTTTTGTGAGAGTTCCTTGATACAACTCAATATCCTTTACCTTGCCTTCCTCAAAAGGAGGCTCTTCTTCATAAATACTACATCTATTAATGTGAAGAATTACCTTGACTTGAGGTCATAAACACGTCATCTCTTTTGTCCTTTTGGGTTCCCAATGAATACACATATTATCACCCTTTCATCGAACATTTCTCTAATTCTAAGATGCATTTGAACGTAACAAAGACATCCAAACACCTTAATATTCCAATATTAGGCAGTCTGTTAAATAACATTTCATGTTAGGTAGTAGCAAATCCAATCTTTCACGAGCATACGGCCACACAACAGTTGATTTTCCTTTTTGTTAGGATGAAATTCATAGAGGAGTAAGTCACACAAGCCATGTTTTATGTTCGTACTAGAGAACAAAAGGCTAACATATTCACTAAAGGTGTTAGGTCAAAAAGTATTTTTGGGCATATATAATGTATTTGCTCCAACTGGAGGGGGACGTATTAGCATATTAGGTTAGTTATAATAGAAAATTGGTTTGTATTTTAATTGTATTTATAATCTTATATAGATATGAAGGACATTGTCAAGATAGGTCTGTTTAGAATTAAACTTCAGCTTGGTTTACTCCTTGTTGATCACATGCATATGTACGGAGTGCATAAACAGTACTCTATGAATTATGTAAACCATTTCGTTGGACCAGAATACATTCACGATTTGTTCTCTTCTGAAAGCTGCGAATTTACATATAATAAAAAATAGCATATGATTTCATCAAACAAAATATTTCCTATCATAACAATACAGGGAAATGAAAGTCCGGATCTACGAGAATTTCAACTGGAATAATATGCCAAAGGCGCTTTCTAGATTAAGTACTCCTATCAGTTATCCATCCTCTGCCGTAACTCAACATAAGGGAAAATCAGATCAAGCCATTTAAGCAACAAAATTACAATTTTAAAAAAATAAAAGGAAACGGGCAAGAAGGAAAGAAGGAAAAAGGGACCTGCTGGTAAAGGGCAAAGAGGAGCAAAGCGACTTCGTTGGAGAACTTAGAGCTATAAGGGTCGGGGGGAGATCCATCAAAACCTGCATACGCAGCAGCAGCATGAAATCGTTCCGGGTAAGCGAGGCCAGAGCTTCCCCTCGCCATCGCCATTCACCTCTGAATCTGATTGCCGGTTCCTTTTCGCTCCTCGGATCGAAATAAGTTGTCAAGAATGATTACTAATGTGTTTGCTATATATATACATTGGGGTGATTTGAATTCAATTTGGGGCGAACGAACTATATAGTATATACATACATGGCATGTACAATTGCTTAAATGTTGTACACTGTGCATCGGGGTTATACCCTACCTTGACTGTTGGGAATTTAGTAACGTTTGGAAAAGTAACGTGATCTTCTTTGTCCTTTTACGCGTTAGCCCTTTGTCTTGGTGTCTTCAAAATGAGGTAATCCTTTTTGCTCCGAGAAGCATACCATGTTGATTTATGACAAGTTTGTTTGCCCTAAAAATTGGATAATAATTAAATTTATAATGTGGTTTTAAGGACACGTGATTTTACCTAATATTAATTGATAAATGTAAAGATTAGTAATAGGAATTAGCAATGAGATAAAGCAAACCAGTGTTTGAATGGAATTAAGCCCTCGAGCTTTAATACCCTCGAGCTAATTGGTGCAAGAACAGTTAAAAATATAACAAGCTGATGAACAAGTATATGAGCTAAAGAGAGTGTTATATTGCTTTGATACGTCAGAACAATGTCCGGTCTTACAAATGATTAGAACCCCCTTTATATAGTAGAGGAATTTTACTTAAGGTACAATTCTAAATATGGAAGAAAATCCCATGATTGGCTGAACAGCCGGTCTTGACTTGATTCAAGCCGAGATTCTCGCCACAATCCTTGGCCGATCCCGGATATCTCGGTTTTCTGTTACTCGACTTAGCTTCGATCTCTATCTTACTTGGTCTCGATCTTGGTCGACCTCGAGCTTCATCGGTCCCAGGGTCTCGATAACTCAACCCCGCGCCATAGATAAAACTCGAGATCCAAACGTGATCTACCACGTTCCACCCTTGGTCAGTTGAACAAAAAGGGGCATCCCATTTTTGACCATATACAGATAGTCCCCTCGTTTTTGGAGTGTAATGACAAGAAACGAATTGAGTCCGAGTTTCTTTGCTTGTTTTTCTCAAAGCACCAAATTGTCACGACCCAAACGATGGTCCGCGACGAAATACCCTGTATACGGTGAAATCAGAGGGTCCAATTTCCCGTCGACGCGACACCTCAAAAACGCGTCTCGAAGGCTCGAAAATACGGCCGAGTTTTCCTCCCTCGAAGTTTGTCGACGCTCGACCTCGGGGCAGTATAGACTGACAGCTATGATGAAAAAGTGGGAAGTTCCCTAGGCGCACGACTGAGGCTGACAAAGCCTATAGGTCTAGCCCTGACCCGAATCAGGGCATTAGGTGGATACACCTGCCCCATATCTTTGTAATTAATGCTTTTGTATTATGCTTCCCCCTCATATATGAGGGGGAACCCTTGTCATTTGCAGACATCTGTTGCTCCATACTAAAATATACAAGAACATTCTCTCTATTCTCTAACACATTCTCTTGAAATCATTACCTCATTTATCATTTACATTTATTGTGTTCTATCCATTGTTCTTCATCTATTGCTTATTATTGGCCATAAAGAGATGTCATTGATTTTATTATAACTGTTAGTCATCCATCGATTACACCCAATAGCTCCCAGTCGAGCTTCAGACTCGACCCCAAGGTCCTCGATAGGGTGTTCAAAACCGATTCGAAACCGAACCAAAACCGAAGCTTAATGTCTTATTGGTATCGGGTTAACGGTTTAACGGACGGGGAATGGATTGAATTTTTTTTTATTAACGGCTTATCAGTTTGGGAACGGATTATTCAATTTTCTTAACAGATAATCCGTTAACCCGTTAAGAATATATATATATATATATATATATATAATTTATTTTTATCCATATAAATTTTTCTTTCATTCTCCATTCTTCTAATTTGCTTTTATCTTTAATTTTTTCTTTGAGAAAACTGTTTGTATCACATGATTTTCTAGGGCTGCTGAAGTGTTGAATTTATACATACCTAGAAGGCCTTGACTGCTAACAAAATAAAGACATAAATCCAAGTGGGCAGTTAGATTAAGGTTGGACTTTTGCAAACACACTCTGGCCATTTATTCAACACGACTTCAATGAGATTGTGGTTGAGTTATGGTGAGGTTACTTTATTACTAACATGCTTTCATCACTGAAATTATTGATATGGCAGATCAAACATAAACTAATAGTTGTCCCAGGTATGTCATGGCTTACAACCTCAGCCAATAGATAAGAAGGAAAATGTTATACACACTTAAAGAGAGAGAAGGCATGAAGTAGCACCAAGTGCGTGTCCTAGAATAATACATGAATTAGGCCGATAAATTGCCCGATAACCGCCCGATAAGAACTAAACCGATATCAATCCGCCTGATATCTTATCGGTGGCTAGCGGATTAATACATTTAAAAGCCGATAACCGATAAGCCAAATTGTTAAGAGTAAATAACCGCCCGATAAGCAGCCCTAGTCCTCGAATAAGCCAGCTCGAGGCTCCGACCATTAGTCATTCGGTTTGCTTATCACCCTGCTCTCAAGCTCTAATCTCGTTTCCAAGTCTTTCACATAGCATCAACTGCTTAACAACTAGCATAAAAATAGATCACGTATTTTTAGAACCTCACATAATCAAGTTTAATTGTTATTACTATTTTCACGATAAACAGTTTGGCGCCCACCGTGGGGCTAAAAATAATAGTGATTATTTTCTTGCTAGTTTCACTACACAAACGCAAGTTATCTTTCACACTTTTTCTTGCCCAAGATCTTTGATTTCAGGTCGAAATGTCCGATTCAGTAAACAACAATCTTGAGAACCACGGAGAAAATGGTGTGCATGTTCCAGGTGCTAGTGTACCACCACGAAACCCCGAGAACGCGCCAGAGCCAATTCCCGTGGACGCAATCTCGCGCGACGCCCAGCACGTCGATAAGCTCCCACACTAACAAGAGCGTACACCAAGGCGACCAACAAGAAACCCAAAAAACCCTAGCTAGGGAAGAACGGGAGGTTAGCCTTCACGTTATTTTTGAAATATTATAGGCACAACAGCTGGCTATTGCTCAGCTGCAAAGTCACCAGAAGAATCCTAGCACGGTAGCACCGGGGACGGCTCCCTCAGCCGAACAGGTACCAGAGAGATCAAGCAACAATGGGTCGGTAGCCGACCCCGCCATCGTAATGATGCTCGAGGACCTCACGAGGAGGATCGAATCGGGCGAGAAGAAGATAGAGGCCAATGATGAAAAGGTCGAGGCCTACAATTCTAGGGTCGACCAGATTCCGGGAGCACCCCCGATCTGAAAGGTGTGGATTCAAAGAAGTTCATGCAAAAGCCGTTCCCACAGGAAGTGGCTCCGAAACCCATTCCGAGGATGTTAAGAATGCCAGACCTCCTGAAGTACAACGGAACCTCGGACCCCAATGAGCACGTTACTGCTTACACCTGTGCAGTAAAAGGCTACGACCTGAGGGACGATGAGATCGAGTCCGTCTTGCTGAAGAAGTTCGGGGAAACGCTTTCTAAAGGGGCAATGATGTGGTATCACAACTTGGCCCCAAACTCAATAGATTCATTTGCCATGATGGCTGATTCTTTCTTTAAGGCACATGCCGGTGCCATCAAAGTAGCAACAAGGAAATCCGACGTCTTTAAGATCAAGCAGAGGGAGAATGAAATGCTACAAAAGTTCGTATCTCGCTTTCAAATGGAACGGATGGAACTACCACCAGTCTCCGACGACTGGGCAGTGCAGGCCTTCACTCAAGGTCTGAATGAACGAAAATCGGTAGCTTCGAAGCACCTGAAGTAGAATCTGATTTAATATCCCGTCGTGACCTGGTCGGACATTCATAACCGGTATCAGTCGAAAATCAGGGTCGAGGACGACCAACTAGGAGCCCCCTCGGGCTCGGTATACCCAAGCAAGCTTCTAACGAAGGAGGCAAAGCCAAACAAAGAAAGGTACCAGCCATACATCGAAGACAGGAGAAACGCTCCGAGGCGCAACATAAGGGGAGTGAAACAACAAAAGGGGAAATCACCCTCCTAGTCAATGTGGCAGGCACAACCCAAAATGCCAAATTCCATGTCATCGAATGAGACATGAGGTATAATGCCTTGCTCGGAAGGCTATGGATACACTGCATGAGAGCGGTACCGTCCACCCTCCATCAAATGACGAAATTCCCGACAAAAGAGGGGATTTAAACCGTCTACGGGGAATACCGTGCGGCAAGGGAAATGTTCGTAGTACACAATGTAACACCGACACCAGTGCCTCTACCCTCGAAGGAGCCAAAGGATTATCAAACAGTAAAATAGCGATAGCAAGCTACCCCCTCGGCTAAGTCCGAACCAAACAAAGCAAAGGACTGTACCGCGTCCTCATGACAAACGATCGAAACATCGCCTGCACATTATACACTAAGGTATGACCGTCTCCTTTCTCTTTCAATTACATTCTACACTGACCAGAGTGCAGGTATTCGATCGAAACGGCCAAAGCACTCTCCAACTCGAAAGCCTTAGGTTTCAAAAGCATGCGTTGCACTCTTTTCCTTCGACCGGGTTTTTATCCCAAAAAAGGTTTTACTAGCAAGGTTTATAACGAGGCAACATCCATATGCTACCAAAGGAAGACTTAACGAAGTATTCAAGGCTTCTTATGCAATCAACCTCGAATACTGGGGGGCATCCCCCCAGGAAGGTCACCTACTCGGAGAAGCCAATATACGCCGAATGGGGTCTCGATAGGAAAATGATGTACCGGGACAAACGATCGAATGAACCATGTCCATATAGAATAATGAGGCCCCTGACAGCAAAAACATGTATACTTGTACAAAGTAATCGAAGAATACTTTCCATCAAAGCATTTCACGCTTCAAAAGAGACTCGGTATTTTTGCAAAAACGGCTCCTCTATCAAAAACGTCCCGAAAACTCGGGGACTTGCGTCGACAACTCAAAACAATGCGACCCCTGAGTCGGAGCTCCTAACTCATAAGCCCTCAATGAGGCAACACTGAGATCACAAAACATCTCCAGAGCCAAAAATGTCCCGAACACTCGGGGACTAGCATCGAAAACTCAAGTCCACATGACCCCCGGGTCGAAAACTCCGGAATTGTATGCCCTCAATGAGGCAATACCAAGTGATAATAGGCTAGATTCATGTAGTTTGGCGACTATTTATG